GGAAAACATGGGAGTGAAGACAGATGGTCGGCAACTACACCACCTCCGCTTTGCTGATGACATCGTTCTAATAACACCAAACATCAGCCAAGTGGCACAAATGCTTACGGACTTTGACCATGAGTGTGTAAAGGTCGGACTACAGCTGAATCTTACGAAGACAATGTTTATGAGAAACAGCCTTGTTCCTGATGCTCCATTCGCTCTCAACGGAACCACCATCTCCGAATGCAACAGTTATATATACTTAGGTCGAGAAATCAACATGATGAATGACCTGGCACCTGAGTTACGCAGGAGGAAGAGAGCGGCTTGGAATGCCTTCAAGAGCATTGAAGAAATAACTAAAAGGACAAAGAACCTCCAGCTACGAGCACATCTCTTTGATTCCACTATTCTTCCTGCATTAACATATGCCTCAGAGACCTGGACCCTACGAAAACAAGATGAGAACACTATTCGGGTCTCTCAAAGAGGAATCGAAAGAACTATGCTTGGAATATCACGATTCACTCAAATGAGAGATAGAATCCGGAGTTCTGATCTTCGTCAACGCTCAAGAATCAGGGACGCTGTCTCATTTGCCAAGACATCAAAAATCAGATGGGCTGGACATGTAATGAGGTTTACAGACAACCGCTGGACTAGAGCCATTACTGATTGGATTCCATGAGACATCAAAAGATCACGTGGACGCCCACCTATAAGATGGTCAGACTTCTTCGTCAAGACCCTAAATGATCGGTTTGAGGCTCTACATGTTCCTAAAACGAACAGATACCATTGGGCTACGCTAGCACGCAACCGGGATGAATGGAGACGTTACTGGCACCCGCTCGAATAAATCGATGAATAACGGGGATTAAGTGATTAAGTGATTAAGTGATTAAATGCTTATTTATTTATTTATTTTGCTTTTTGGGTCACACCCGGCGATGCACAGGGGCTATTCCTGGCTCATGAACTCAGTAATTACTCCTGGCGGTGTTCAAGGGACCATATGGGATGCTGGGAATCAAACCCAGGTCTGCTGCGTGCAAGGCAAACACCCTACCCGCTGTGCTATCGCTCCAGCCCCAAGGCCTGAAATTTTAGCAGCCTCTCCGTACTCGTTTTTCCAAATACTGCCGTATTGGAGGCTCTTTCAGGGTCAGGGGAATGAAACCCGTTATTGTTACTGTTTTTGGCATATCAAATAAGTCACGGGTAGATTGCCAGGCTCTGCCGTGCGGGCAGGATACTCTTGGTAGCTTGCAGGGCTCTCTGAGAGGCATATATATATATATATATATATATATATATATATATATATATCTTTTTCCTCTATGATTTGTTGCCTACTGTCTGAACCTCATCAAATATGGTGTAGTAATTATGGAAAATGGGTAGGGAATGTCTTATGATGTATCCAGGAATATGTTCTCTCATGCTTGAAGCTCAGTCCAAGCGTGTGGAAAGAGGCCTGGAGCGTGGTGGTGGTTGGGTAGTGGAGGTCAGCTGGGTCCCTTGGGGCAGGGAGGGCTCTCACCCGCCCCCCTCTGTGGCGCACCAAGTGAAAACAGCCTGGCGCAGAGTCCAGTGGCATGGTTATGGGGGCCTCATTTTATGCTCCCTTCCAGGAGAAGCTGCCATGAACTGACAGGGCTCTGGTATTGGATTTAAATTCCTGGGTACCTATTGCACCAGTTGGTAATTTGTTGCCCAAGAAGAAGCAAAGAAAGGGGATTAAAACCCCTAAGAGCCCCAATGGCTGCCAACTTCCAGACCTAATGAGAAGTGCAGGTATGCGGGTTCAGTGACAGCCAACTCTAGGTCTCAAGGGATAGAGGGTGAGCTGGTCCTTCTCATCTCCTCGTCCCTATGGGACTCTGGAGGTCACACTCATGAACTGCCTTAATGGCCATGATCCAGAGACACACAAAAGAATCACAGAACGGAGCAGCTTGCTGCAGAGATTTCTCCAGACCCTAATTATCTAAAATTTTAGAATTCCAGAAGTGTGGTGCCGCTTTCGTGGCCACACTATATCTTATGCTATTCATAACAAGCAATACAAAATAAATTATCTAGCATCTGCCTTTTCAGCAGGTTTGAGTGGTGGAGGGAAAATTCAAAATAATGATGGTGGGAAGGTGTAATGGTGGTGGGACTGATGTCAAAATATTGAATGCAATACATTATTGTGAACAATTTTATGAAAATAAAAATAAAAAATAAAAAGAAGGTTAATAGGCACACCTTGCATGCGGCTGACCTAGGTCCAATTCTCTAGCACCACACAGTTTCCTAAACATTGTTGGGTATAGCTCTGTTGGCCCCCAAGCTCTGCCATGATGTCCCAGATAATTCCCAGCATTGCAGGATGCCAAGCTGCACTGCATCCTCAGGTCTGAACATTGAACTCTTGCCCAAGGTGTTTGAGTATTTCTGGAAGGGCCCTAACGGCTCTTGAGCATTTAATAATGCTCAGAAGTTTCCTCACTCAAAGAGTATTGAATAAAATAAAATATGCGCTGAGAGATTTTTGTTGCACGATTGAGTGTATTTGAGCAGAAACTACCTTTTCTTGTATGTTCCAACCTCCCTCCATAAGGGTATACATAAGGGTAGACTGTCTATCCTACGTGCTGTCAGTGCAGAGTGGGGCAATACTTGCATGCTGTAATTTTGTTTCCCATCTAATAAACTCCACTGAATCATTTCATCGTTAGGAAGAAAATCGATGCCTGAAGAAAACAAATTTGAGCTATTTTTCATTGACAGAACATTTGAAACTGGAAATACCACTTGCATTGTCTTACAATGCTTATAGAAGTACTTGATTATTAATTTAAATATAGTGTTAATAGAAGCTTTAAGAAAAAGATAATGGAGGTTTATAATTCTGCCCAGGTGCTATTTATAGGAGGCAGCAATTTCATTTTTGGTGCACTGTACTCAATATTGACCACATTTACCAAATTTATACTATCAAGGAAAAAGGCAAATGCACACACTTATTATTTCAAGATATTTATTATTGAGTATCTCAAAGAGTCTGAGTAAGTTATAAATCTAAATAGAAAATTGTTATTTATGTGCATGTATGTATATAACATAAAGAAGTAGAACACTGTGGTAGATACTTGTTTCCAGCTCAGAAACAATGTAAAAATAATACACAATTCTAAATATGACTAATAACTCTTCCAAGCTGTATAAAGCTTAAAGTAACTCTTTATTTATTGGTGATTAGATTAGTGTTTAAATTAATCATGATTAACATCTTTTCTCATGAAAATAAAGAATACAAATATAGTTTATGTTTTAAAATTTAAACAACTCCAGAGCTCTCAGCAAATCTGCCTAATAATATACATAAAATCACTTTAATTATATTTCACAAAATCTTCAATTTAAATGATTATTTCAAATGCACTAGAAGAGTTTCTTAAAATCCATAATTCAAATCATTTATGTTTCACAAATTGTCTGAGATTAGAAGCAGACATAATTTCAGGGTGTAAATGAATACCTTGCTCACTTCCCTACTTCCAATACCACAAAAGTTCCATCCCTTCTGTAGCCTAACAACTTGGATTGTTTTCAGAAAACACACATCTTTCTCTCTCAAAGAGTCTGAGGCTGTTTATGCCTCAATTCTCTCAACCCATCTTTTAGATCTCATTTCTTCTCCTGTCCTTGGAGAAGGTGGGAAGCCCTTTGGTCAGGGAAACTAGAAAAAGCATAGTTGCTTTATTTTTGCTCTTTCATATAGAGTCATTTGTTGGAGTCAACTAGGGAATTTAAGAGTGAAATATGACCTAAATTAAAATTTCAATTTTTCTTCTGCTTCATGGGTTACAGAAAAATAGCTCCTGGAGCTCACTGATGACTTCCTAGCGAAGCTGCAAGAAAAGACAGCCAGGCTGGCTAACACTAGTTCTAACAGTCACTACCTCTGCCCAAAGCTACCAAGACACCAGGTAGGACAAACAATGAGCTGGCCAGTTAACTTTACAGTTATATATCTCAACATTATGATTTTTTGATATGTATCTTGTATAGAAGTCGCCATCTCCTTGCTCATCTTATATAAATATATGCCTCTTGGAGAGCCCGGCAAGCTACCGAGAGTATCCCGCCCACACAGGCAGAGTCTGGCAAGCTACCTGTGGTGTATTTGATATGCCCAAACCAGTAATGACTACAGGTCTCATTACTCTGACCCTGAAAGAGCCTCCAATTCTTGGTAAAAGATGATTAAGAAGAGGCTGCTAAAATCTCAGGGCTGGGAGGAATAGAAACGTTACTGGCACCCGCTGTTTCTGGCACTATAAATCGACAAACAATGGGATGACAGTGATACAGTGACAGTGATCTTGGATAGACGATATGACATTTCTGTGGGAATTCACTTATTCTATCCACTTTTAAACCATAGAAAATTATTTACACTTCTTTATTCTCCATTACTGAATATTACTGAAAATTATTGAATATTCCACCTCTAGCCGAAGCTATGGTAAAGGTAAAGGTAAAGGCCCTCCCGTTGATCGTCGATTTGCTCGAGCGGGCCCAGTAACGTCTCCATTGGAGACTTTGTTGTTACTGTGTCTGGCATATCGAATACTCTCGGTAGCTTGCCGGGCTCTCCGAGAGGGGCAGAGGAATTGAACTCGGGTTGGCCATGTTGGCCGCTTGTAAGGCGAACGCCCTACCCGCTGAGCTATCGGGCTAGAGCCGAAGCTATGAGTATATGAAATTATAAAGGAGGTAAAATTTGGATCAATTAATAATTAATCATATAGTAATGGCATCTCTGGTAAAAGATTGCTAGCAAGACATCTAAAAGAATTGGATGCTATGTAATTTTGAGATTATTCTTTCTGGTTTAACCCACTCTACTTTTCCCCCTTTATCATCAAACATAGCTATTCAAAAGTCCTGTTTAAGCAACTGGCCATGTGATCAGCTAGAGCATTAAATAATTGAGTGGTCGTGTTTGTCCTTCCGTTAAGAACTACATTTGAGATTCTACTGAGATCCTGTTTAAAGTCAGAAGAGCTTTCTGATAAGGGGCATCCTTACACTCATCGGGGACACTGCTGGTGGTCTCCTCTGGGTTCTCACAGCTGCTGACAATGGCCACCGCACTAAAGGACCTCCTTCTGACCTTGGTGTCAGATGTCGCAGATCCTCTGACTGGCGGGACTTTTTCAATATGATGCAGCTGCTGGTCTTTCCAATCCAGTTGTTTGGCACTGCAGAAGGGAGCGTAGACTTCCACGCTTCCCTCGAACTGTAAGCAGTTCACCTTGTAGTACTTCCTCTTCACTTCCAAGACGTCATTAAATCTATGGCCCCAGAGAATTTCCCGAGGGATGTAGGAACTCCTGGATTGGTGGGATGTCCCGGTGGAATCCCCAGTATAGATAAATGTCACCAAGATCTCAAAGTTATCTTTGGCTACCGCCTTCCGGTCAAGAGCATACAGGGGGCTCTCATGGTCGATTTCATGGACAATTGTTACTGGGGTCACAAGGATGATCTGGTCATTGACTAACTTCAGGTCTTTAAAGGCCATCGTCATCCGCCCTTCGCTGTCTTCTGTGTAACGCAGGAGTTGGGCTCTGACGGTGCCTTCCACCACGTGGTTGGGTCGGAAATCTCCAATGCGCCACATGAGACAAAGTTTCCCATCTCTCATGCCGATGAGTGCAAAGTAGCTGAAGCGAATGGTTTGGGCTCTCTTGCGCGCCGTTGCCATTTTGGCCAAGGCGGCTCCAATGATGAAGGTATTGATGATGCAGCTTAAAATGGACTGGAGGATCACCATGAGCACCGCCATGGAACATTCCTCGGTGACACAGCGGTACCCGTAGCCTATGGTGGTTTGGGTCTCCAGGGAGAATAAAAACGCTCCCGTGAAAGAGTGGACGTTAGCCACGCAAGGGGTGATGTCTGGGTCACTCAGCAGATCTCCATGGTGGAAGGCTATCAGCCAAAAGATGGAGCCAAAGATCAGCCAGGAGAGGACGTAAGATAAAGAAAAGATCACAAACATATGGCGCCACTTGGTGTCGACAAGCGTGGTGAAAATGTCCACCACGTAGCTGCCCCATTCTCCAAAGATGTGCTTGAAGTACACGTTACAGCTGCCGTCTTTGTGGAGCAGACGCCTCCTGGCTCTTCTCTTTTCTGCTATAACGTGCTCTGGTGGGTAGCCTGGGTATTTGGAGTCCATGTTTACAATGGGATAGTTGCTGCTGTAATAACTCATTCTTCCTTGTGTCCTCCGAGAACCAAGCAGTCTGGCAGTAAGAACAGCTGTTGTCGGTGTACTGCTCTTTGTGGCCTTGGGTTTTCAGTTAAAACCTGAAAAGGAAAGGGAAAAAAGAACCCCACTTTAGTCTTTTCATTCCCATCATTCTAGCAATTTGCCGGATTGGAGGCAATTTCATGCCATCTGAAAGAGCTGAGACTTCATTTGAACAGCAGAGACACTCGCTATTGATTACTCATTGCAGTGTAGAATTCAACTCAGTCATTAGAGGAACAAAATATGCAATTAGAGAAAATAACATTTTTAATATATGTGTGAGGCTGGAGTCAACACTATGATTATCGCAAATGAAGCACAACTGCCTTTTCTGACCCACTATCAAGAAAAAAAGTAGAGAGAGAAAATCCTTATTTTTGTAGACTCCTCTGGCATAAGGGCATTTAGAAAACAAACTGATGTATAATAGAGGAAAACAATAATCCAGGTCTTTGTCCAGAAGTCTTACAAGTATGCTTGCTACTTAAGGCAGCTGATTGCTCTTAGAAAAAAGAGGCAATTTAGAGTTTCTACCCTCAGATAAAATGGAACTTACATGCTGGCTGCTGTCATCATTAATCTCTCATCTCCGGCATCGAAGCTTCCCTTTTCTTCCACGCAGATTTCCCTTTCTTCTGAACTTCCCCCAACAGAACAGAACTGACAGGTACCCTAGGTCTAAGAAAACTCCCTTCCCATAGCTCTGCCTTGAGTTTTGAGTAAGGAAACAAAATCTTTCTTAGACCCAAAGGAGTTAAAACCACTCCCACGTAAGCTTTCACTAAGGTATAAGATTGCTCTGTCTTTGTCTCATAGCAGCTATCTCTTTTTCTCCCTACTCCTTCTTCTTTTTTTTTTTTTTTTGGCAGTGCAGGCTCTTCTTCCCTCTGAATAGAAGCCGAAAAGTTGCCAGGGTTGCCAATCTTGCTTCTCTCTTAAAGGGAGCACACAACTATTAGAACCTAACTCTCTAGATTGGCAATATGTGCTGGATGCTTTTATGGCCATCTCCAGGCAAAAATCATTTTTTCTCCATCCAAAGTTCCTTTTTTTCAAAATTAAGCAAATAGGCAGCCCTGATGATGACCTCAATAATAGAGGCCAGTGGCATTTCCAGCCCATGTTTCAGCTGAAATTCTAAATTGCAGTATTAATTGTTTTGTAATTATTTTGATGCAAAGAAGCAAAGTAGCTGTGGCCCACTTTTAGGCTTTGGTGATTCTTAGGAATTATGCTTTTCACATAATCTACCTGAGTTCAAAGGGAAGAGAGTGAAGAAAAGACTTTAGAGGGTCTGCCTTCTCAGATGGACAGAAAAATACAGCAGGAGTTGTATTCCTAACACTGAGACCTGTTTGGAGATCAACCAGGAAAACCAATCTCTAAGTACATACCCAGTACTTTCCCTACTACAGAAAAGGTGGCAAGAGTTAACTCCCCCTCCCGTCAGAAGGAATCATTTTCCCTCTTCTCTGGGGATCAGACCCATTTTACAATAAACACTTTGTTTGGAGCACCACTGCGAGGATGGACTCTGCTTAAAGCCGAACAGTCCTCACTCCAACCCCTTTTACCCATGAGACCTAAAGATCTGCTTTGCCTTTCCTGTCTGCAAGTCATGGGTGATTACAGTATCATGGATGACAGTGCATCCTTTCAGGCTAGAAATGTTTACTGGGATACTGAACTTAAGACATTTCCACAAATGTGAGTCCCAAAATATATCTCTGAGGGACTAAGAAACAGTACAATATGCGAGGAGCTTGCCTTGCACGCGGCTGCCCCAGGGTTCAATCCCTAGAACCATATACGATTCCCTGAGTCCCATCAGGAATGATTCCTGAGTGAAGAGTCAGAAGTAAACCCAGAGCACTACTGAGTGTGGTCCATAAACAATAACAACAAAAAATTTAAATATATATATATAGTAGATACCTATATGCTCTATTTTTGAAGGACACTTCACAAACAAGCTATACCAGGGTTCTCTCTCACCTCATCATTTTGACATAAGAAATGAACCATTGATAACCAAAAATGTATATAATGAAAATTTTACAAAGCATGTTTGGAGATAAGAATTTTGCTTCCAACCCAGATCCTTTAAGGAAGCTTTATATCCACATCGTGGGAGCCTGAGAATAAGAAAGCACAGTTCATAAATCAAGAGCTACTGTGTGACTTTGCTCTTTTCTTCTGCCAGGAAAAAAAAGAAAGGTTTTTGTATTTCAAATGGCATTTGGCTGGCAACATTCTGAATGCCAGTGGTGCCAACAACTGTTATAAACAAGTCATTTTAAAAACACCTCAACAGTATGCTAATTGGGAAATGGATTTTCAATTAATGCAAGCTACAAGTGGGCAAATTCAGATTATTGCTGAATAATGTAGCAATTTCAGGGAAACAAATTACTGCTGTGATAATTCCATCCCAGTTCTACCGTGTTATTAATGTAGCTCAAATCTTATACTGATACATTTCAATTTACCGAAAGAAAACTCTCGTCAGATGCTATTTAGGTCTTTAAACTTTATCCATCTATTGTTTGATTCTCAAGCCACGTAAGTGTGCATTTTCTGGAAGACAGTTGTCCATAAGCCAAATCATAGGTTACAATGAAATGAACAATTCTCAACCCTCATAATGAGCAAAGACACAGAGAAATCTTTGTTCTAAAGTCTAGACAAAACAACATTCCTATCTTGTGCAAAATATCGCACCTGAGAATTTCCTAGTTATTTGGTATTCAATCATAAAAGACAGGATTTATTAACTGGACATTCTATAATCAACATTTTTCTTAAAATAAAAAATTAGCTTTGAAAGTGTCAATGTTTTCATGATCTTGAGGTCCTTACTAATTTCACTGTGGAAAAGCATTTGCAATGTCCTTCCTTTTTCTGTTTTTCATATTGAGATCCTTGTTGTCTGTGCCATTTTTATCATCACAAAATTTCATTTTTTCACAATTAAAAATGGAAATATGAGGATTGGAAAGACACTACAGGAAGTGAAGCACTTGATTTGCATGCAATCACTTCATCCTATCATGCTTCAATTTTCAGCAGTACATATGGTTTTCTGAGCACTGCCAGGGATCATTTCTGAGCATAAGCCAGAAATAAGCTCCTGGGAACTGTGACCCATACAACCTCCCAACTCCTTCACACACACACACACACACACACACACACACACACACACACATACACACACATACACACAAAGAAATACAACTATTGTCATCTCAGAAATATGGAATAACAATTTTATATTAAATACAAATATAAAATGCTGAACCAGGCAAGACTCCCTTATAGAAAAGTCTCCAACTATTTTGCTAGACACTTAAACTCCATTTTGCTAGGCCGTGGAGTTCTTTTATTGGTGTCCTTGGAGTCAGACCTGTACAGGTAGAGGAATGTGGTTCCCTGAGAACACCCTTCAAGCTCAGTACTTGATCACTTTATCACTTGACTTCCCGTTAATCATCGATTTGCTAGAGCAGGCGCCAGTAACATCTCCATTTGTCCCTGTCACATGCTAGTGTAGCCCAATGGTGTCTATTCTTTCTAGGAACACGAAGAGCCTCAAACCAATTGTTCAGGGTCTTGATGAAGAAGTTTGACCATCTGGTAGGTGGGCAGCCATGCAATCTTTTGATGTCCCATGGAATCCAGTCACTAATGGCTCTAATCCAGTGGTCATCTCCAAATCTCATTACATGTCCAGCCCATCTGATTTTTGACGCCTTGGCAAATGAGACAGTGTCCCTGATTCTTGATCGTCGACAGAGGTCGGAACTCCAGATTCTTTCTCTCATTTGAATTAAACATGGTACTCCAAGCATAGCTCTTTTGATTCCTCTTTGGGAGACCCAAATAGCCTTCTCATCCTGTTTGCGTAGGGCCCAGGTCTCTGAGGTGTATGTTAATGCAAGAAGAACAGTGAAATCGAAGAGATGTGCCCAGAGCTGGAGGTTCTTCGTCCTCCTAGCTATTTCTTCGAACGCTCTTGAAGGCATTCCAAGCCGCTCTCTTCCTCCTGAGCAACTCAGGTGCCAGGTCATTTGTCATGTTGACTTCTCAACCTAGATACCCATAACTGTTACATTCGGAGATGGTTGTTCTGTTGAGGGTGAATGGAGCCTCAGGAACGAGGCTGTTTCTCATAAACATTGTCTCATGAGATTCAGCTGTAGTTCGACCTTTCGAACTACAGCTGACACACCATGAGTGTGTCATGGTCAAAGTCGGCCAGCATTTGTGCTGCTTGGCTAATGTTTGGTGTTATTAGAATGATTTCATCAGCAAAGCGGAGGTGGTGTAGTTGCCTACCATCTATCTATCTTCACTCCCATTCCTTCCCATTCCAGTCATTGCATGATGTTCTCGAGGGTGGCCCTGAAGATCTTCGGTAAAATGGTATCACCCTGCCGAACCTCTCTCTTGACATGGATGATCATTTCTTTGTAGAAGAAAACTCAGTACATACCTGTAAATCCAGGACTGTTACTTTCATATACATCACATAGATATCTGAGAGAGGAAAAAGTGCAAAAGACCTGCTAGCTCAATCCAATGCAACTTTCATGAGACCTTTGATCTTTTAACTCAAGACATTTAAAAAGTTTGCAAGAGTCCCAGAGAGAGCTCCATTGGGGAACCATTTGCTCTAGGAAGTGTGAAGTGCATATTCAGTCCTCTGCTTCCCCACTCCCTACTATCTGCCTGAATACTTGGAACCCCCCAGCATTAAAACAAATTATGATTTCTGGAGTGATTCTGGCACTTACAAGCCATTGTGTGAGTGCACCACTGATTGAAGAGTGTAATCCCAGGCAAGTCTCATGATAGGTAAGCACCACAGCCTAATGTATGGAATCTGATTAATTGATTAGGGCAGCTAAATGCAAACAACAACCACAATTAAGTGTGTGTGTGAGAGAGTGAGAGAGAGAGAGAGAG